TACGAGGTCCGGCGCTCTTTAGACATTCTGTTTAGCATCAACAGAAATAGGACGTTACATTTTCCTTATCTGGGCCAGTGGTGTTGGCACACGATTTTAATACAAGCACCCGGGTGTTGTAGAATATTATTTTAAGGTGTGTTGCTTTTGTTTATGCTCTGGAACGCTTGTTCAATGATACAAAGGTGTGTTTGATTAAATAAAATTCGCCCGTGGTCAGGAGGCTGGGTCAGCAACTAGCTGACAGGAAGTGGTAGGGAGGAGCCAGGTGGAGAAGGTTTATACGGAGATGGAGAAAAAGCTGGAGAACTTCTTGGGAGACAGGAAGAGGTGGGTTAGGGGAGCTGCTTACTATTCAGGCTGACTGAGAAGCAGGATTCTACCTCAACCTTGAATCTTGAATTCTTTTCTGGGACACAGATTTTAGTAAATTTCCTTAGAAGCTTTAAAAGAGCCGGTGCCCGAGGAAACAGAATTCCCTCAGGCTTCAGCTAGCTCTTCCCCTGATGCTGATAGGGATGGAATTGCAGTTGCTGAAAAGGAAAGCCTGGCTTAAAAGGCAGAAACAATTAAACAAACAAAAGAAAACTTGGGAGGTAGAGGCAGGTGAATCTCTGCGAGTTAGAGGCCAGTTTGGTCTACAAAGCGAGTTCCAAGACAGCCAGAGCTACACAGAGAAACCCTGTCTCAAAACACCAAAATAAACCAGGTAGTCAGGTAGTGATGGTACATACCTTTAATCCCAGCACTTGGGAGGCAAAGGCAGGAGTTCAAGGCCAGCCTGGTCTACAGGAGCCTAGAGAGTCTCCAAAACTACACAAGAGAAACCCTGTTGGGGGGGGGGGAGGGCGGTTAAAAAAGAAACATTTCTAAGCTGGAAGGGAGGGAGGGCAGACAGAAATCTTGCAAGGAAAAAATATGAAATACTCCTGAATTATCAGTATTTCTTTTTTGTTGTTGTTTTTATTTTTGCTTCTTTATGTTTGTATTTTTGGGTTTTTTTATTTATTTTTTACATTCCAATACTAGGTTCCCCTCCCTCCTCTCCTCCCACTCCCCCTACCCCCTCTGCTCCTTGGAGAGGGTGAGGCCTCCCCTTAGGAAGTCTACTCTGTCCCCTCATCTCCTTGAGGCAGGACCAAGGCAGCCCTGTGTCTAAGCAAGGTGTCTCTCCATATAGAACGGGCTCCACTAAGTCAGTTTGTACATCAGAGTTAGACCTTGGACCCGCTGCCAGTGGCCTCATACACTGTCCCAGCCACACCACTGTCACCTATGTTAAGGGAGTCTAGTTTGGTCTTATGCTGGTTCCTCGTTTGTCAGACCTGAGTCAGCTGATTCTGTGGGTTTCCCCATCGTGGTCTTGCGAGATGGATCAGGGGGTAAGAGCACTTGCTGTGCAAGCAAGAGGGTCTGCGTTTGAATCCCCAGGACCCATGTGAAAGCCAGGCAGGGCAGTGAGCTGCTATAACCCTGTAATGGGGGGTGGGTGGGGGGATGGGGTGGAGACAGCGGATCCAGGAAACTGGCTGCTGAAACTATGAGTTTGTGGTGTCGTGAGGGACCCAGTCTCTACAAACAAGGCAGAGAGGAAGGGCGATGCTCTCTTCCTGTCTCTAAATGCATGCACGCACATACATGAACACATACACACGCTTTTTCCTTACTCGGAGTAAAGGGTCTGTTGTCCAAGCCCGGCAACCCATGTTTAATTCCCAGAACTCCCAAGGAAAGCTAAGGACCAATTCCCACAAGCTGTCCTCTGATTTCTCTGCGTGCACAAACACACCACACAAATATACATACAAAAATTTTTAAGCACCTAACCACAGGCAAAACACTGATACCCAAAGAAAAGCATGAAGAAGTGCTGTTGAAGAATTTAACATGCGGGTTCCATCTGCATCGACACTGCTGGACTGTGAATGGCCAGGGAATAGTACTTGTGCCTATAGAATAGGCCTCTGGAAGAGACTCTCATGGCATCTCCAGCCCTCTCCAGGGATGGTTAGGCTTCCCAGAGGTTGAGCTTTTCTTCATGGTCTTCTGAAGGATAATCTGTTTCTTTCCATTCCCCTGGCCCTCAACATCTAGTGCGTGCCCAGCCTTCCCAGACCAGCCATGGTCAACAGCCTGGGTCTTCTCAGGGAGGCTGTGGAATACAGACATGGGTGGGGGACAGAATGGTTTCTATAAAAGCTGGTGTTTAGCCATGTGTGTGGAATGTCCTGAGAGATCACATCTGGAGGAAAGGGAGACTGCAAACAGTAAGCCTCTAGGAAATGTGTCACAGACTCTTGGGGACACCACGGTCTCAGGATCTTAGGGGCCGAGTGTGTGACCCCATCCCATACATGTAGCCTACATAACAGCTAGGCCACATAAGAAGCCCACTCAGGGACTTTCGATATTGCACAATGACTAAAAGAGCTTGCGGCCAAGGCTGACAATTTAAATTCCATCACTGGACTTCACAGACATGGAAGGTGAGAAAATACTGACTCCGTGGGTCAGTAGTCCTCTGGGACCCACATAGGCACTGTGGAACACAGGCACGCACGTGCACACACAGGCATGCGCACGCACACCCGCACGATGGATGGATGCATGCGAGGATATTGAGGTATGTGTGTCGAGATGGCTTAGTCCTGGCACCTCTCACCAAGCCTGATAACCTGGATTCGACCCCCAGGACTGACATGGTCATATTTCAGTGATCTCAGCTGTCCACAAACTATTCCAGACCACACTGATTATCCCTTTATCTAGTCCCTGTTTTTTCTTTCTGGGCTTTCATTCAGGCCTGTGCATAGTTTTGATACTACAACACAATTTTGTCATTTACAAAGTTACGCTCCAGAAATATGCAATCACATCAAATATATATATATATCTCACAATGTTTTCTGTAAGCTTGAAATCTTGTTCTGGTGACATTCACAGCTATCCTAGGCCACTTGCAGCCAGTGGGGAAACTTCTGCATCTTCTATATGTGCGCTGCCTGGGGACAGCGCAGTGGTTAATTGTCAGTTCAGGACTCTAATCATCTTGGTTCAAGTCCCAGGAATATTGCCTAGCCCACGACATTGTCACAACTACTACTAACGATGAAGCAGCTAGGTAGGCAAATGGTGACATGTTTAGAATACTCAAGGCCATGACTTCTAACTCTAACGGGTTGGAGGAGGTGGGTGCATCAAATGCTGGCACCTGCTGTTCTCAGGTCTGCTCATAAACATCTCATTTCTTGCAGTGCTCTGCATCAAACCTGGGCTTTGTACAAGTGCTCGGAACACTGGGCCAGCCCCAGCCCTGATGCTTATAAATCTGAATCCAACTTCTCTTCTGTCCCTGGATGTTATGCCACTTTTGATCTCAGAGTGCTGCTCCACCTGAACTCTGAGCAGCTCTCATTTCTTGAAGCCTCCTCTTAGCCTTACATTCTATTGTATTTAACCTTCCACTGACTGCCTTCCTGTGTCCCCTGTTGGAAAGTATCGGAAGTAGAAAACCCATTCTTGGTGATAAACTTCTCAGAAGCATCTGAGCCACGATGACTTCAGTGGAGTTATCTCAAAGTCACTGAAGAGCTGTAGAGGTGGCACAGTCCGTAAAGTTCCCAAAGTTGGATTCCCAGAATCGGTTCAGACAGCCAGGCCACTGTGGCATGAACATGTAATCTAAGTGCTAGAAAGGCAGACCCCCGGGGACTACTGGTCAACCCGCTGAGCCTATTTGAAAATCTTCAGGTCAGTGAGAGATTCTGTCTGAAAAAAACAAAAGTGGCTGGCTCCTGAGCTTGTCCTATGGCCTCCACACATACAAACATGCAGCTGTGCACACACAACCTTGCACACACAGACACACCAGCCACTATTTGTTTAATTGAAAATGAACATGGAAAGGACAAAGGATTGGCCTTGGGAATTTGATTTGGGTCCACTCCAGCTGTCTGGTGAGTATTACTTGAAACTCTCACACTAGGTCAGGCAAATACTCCGACTGTGAGACTGTGTGTGCATTTCTAACTTTATATGGTGTCTGTGGTGATATATAAAGATCAGTGTTCCCACCAACTTCAAAGCAGCTCCCGGCTTGACACAGCACTGTGGGGGCATAGGAGAGAGGAGAAACGGGTTCCATGTGTTCAAAGAATCTTATCCGAAGAGGCAATGCCCAACCCTTTCATCTCTCTCATTTATATTGCACATAGGAGTCAAGTTAGCACATGTCAAACCCGCATTGAATATATCTTTTTAAAATCATGTCTATTTATTTGCATACCTCGAGTGTGCGTGAGTATGTGCCTGCATAGGCCAGAGGACCACTTTCAGGAGGCTGTTCACTCAATCATGTGGGTCCCCGGCATTGAACTCAGATTGACAGGTTTGGTGGCAATCACCTTTAACCTGCTGTGTAGCTTAATGGCTCTACTATATCTTGGTTTGAATGGAACGTGACTCCCAACACTTCTGCGCCATGGAAGCAACACGTTGGCTAAAGATGCACCGGCCCATTGAAACTTCCCCACCACCACACCCAAGAGCTGGAAGCTATTAGGTACACCACAGTCCAGGCAAAGAGATGCATGCATCTGCCAGGAAATCTGTGTGGGTGACATAGACTTCTCTAGACTGATGCCGGATTGCTACTTTAACTTCTAGTTCAGGGATGTGTTGGGCCAGCAAGCATGACTTTAGTATTTCCAATGAGAATTCACAACTGACATCACACGAAGATAAGGGATAATGATTTAAACAAACAAAAAATCCCATTAAGTTCCAGGTAAGAATAGTAGAGAAAGAGTGTGTGATGTCAACCCTGGAGTACAGGGGCTACCCACAGGGTGGGCTAAATATCTCCTTTTGAGACCAGAGGACACTATAGTGTTTTCTGTTGCTAGTGTGTGACAATCCAGTTCTGGTTCAATACAAGAACAGTTTACCATCCAGCAACTAGTGCCCTGCCAGAGCCAGCCTGGCCTGCAAGGACAGCTTACCATCTTCAACAACAACTTCTTCCTCCTGCCCATCCTGCTTTCCCTCTTGGACATGGACATCTCCTTGTTCAGCCACACCATTGACAGCAGATAGCTGGCCATTCTTCTGTAGGGCCTGTGGGGAAGACAAAGCCATATAAACGTGAGTTCAGTCCACTTATCCAAGTTCAAAGCAATGCTTCAGCTGGACGTTGGTGGCGCATGCCTTTAATCCCAGCACTCGGGAGGTGGAGACAGGTGGATCACTGTGAGTTCGAGGCCAGCCTGGTCTACAGAGCTAGTTCCAAAGCAATACAGAGAAACCCTGTCTCGAAAAACAAAACAAAAAAAGCAATGCTTTGACGTCCAGAGTATAAACTGTGAAATGAAGGAATACAGAGAAACAGAGGCTCTACGATGAAGAGAATGTAAGCTCTATATTCATCTTCAGCGACTGTGTAGAATACACGATGCCCTAACACCAAAAGATGGACCCTGGTATGTGAAGTGTGTGCGGAAGTCTGTGTGTCTGTTCACTAGTCAAGATTCTGCTTCAGAAACTAGGATGAAAAACTTAGCTGAGTCTTACCGCCATGAGCCTTCAGACTAACACAGAAGGAAGACTTTTCTGGTCCCTTCCTTTACAGCCTTCCTTGTAATGGTGAGGGATCCAGGGCCCTGGTATGCTAGGGAAGAAATCCATCACCTCTGGCCCTAAAAATATGTTTTCCCTATAAAATACCATCTCAGCAACTCTGGTTTTAAAAGCTCACACCCACACTCTTGGATGTATCCTATTCTTCCCCTGAGCATCTCTCTTTCTCCTAAATCTGTTAAGATACCTTTTAATAAAGCGCAACGCTTGAGCCGGAAAGATGGCACTGTGGATAACGGCACTTCCTGCCAAGCCTGTTCACCCAAGTTTGCTCTCTGGTAGAGGGAGAGAACCAACCCCCACAAGTAGTCCTTCGACCACTACATGCCACAGCATTCACACACACATATGTGTGTTCACCAGCACACACAAATGAACGTTAAAATTGAAAGGAAGGGGTGGCATTGGAGAGATGGCTCAGGGTTAATTAAGACTACTGACTACTGACACACGTTTGCTTCCCAGAACCCACACGGGGACTCAGCAACCATCTAGAACTCCAGTTGCAGGGGATGTGATGCCTTCTTCGGGCCTCCGAGGGGACAAGGCACACCTGGTACACATAAAACATGTGCAGGCAAAACACTCAAACACATAAGGTCTCCGTTCTTCAAAACTGATGACTGAACACATAATTACTAAGCAACAGCTAAGCAAAATGCCATGAAGCCATCATATGCAGAGCAAATGACAGCGGCAGGAGGGTCCCAGGCCATGCTGGGAGTGCCCAGGGTTTCAGCCAGAAGTGGGGGCAAAGCTAAGAACAAGTTTTTCCTGCCAAGGGCTGTGTGTGGGGGGGGGGCGCACAGGCAATGGGGTGAGGTGGCTTCAAGTGTCACAGCTGCTGTTCCCACAGCCCGGAAGACACCCGTTCTTTCGCTATGGGCCTGGAGAGATGGCTCAGAGGATAAAAGCATTGGCTGCTCTTCTAGAGGACCCTGGTTCAATACCTAGCACCCACATGATGGCTTACAAGTGTCTGTAACTCCAGTTCCAGGGGGATCCAGCATCCATCCTCACACAGGCACACACGCAGGTAAAACACGAATGCACATAAAATAAAAATAAATTATTTTTAAAAAATACTGCTAAATGTGGGCCGGGGAGATAGCCCCCTCTATATTATAAAGGGCTTTGCCATGTAAGCATGATGACCCAAATTTGGTCCTATGACTCGACTCCAGCCATCAGCTGGAGTGGTCGTTCAGTCGGTAAAGCACTTGCCTTCCGGTCTAAGACCCGAGTATGTTTGGCTCCTCAGACCGTATGAGAAGAGGCATTACATACATACGTCTGTAATCCCAGAGATGGCAAGATGGGAAATGGGCCCAGGTTGATCTTTGGAGCTAAACGGGCCAGCTAAGCTAGACTATTTGGTGAACAACAAGGGACCCAGTCCCAAACAGAGGGTGAAAGGTGACTGAGAACTGGAACAGGAGGCTGTCCTCGGACGTCCACGCATGTGCTGTGCACATGCGCACACACTGAAAGAAAGAGGGAAAGACCGTTCATAGAACGAGCACTTCCCTTGCTGTCACTGCTCATGGGTCCACCGACGGCGCAGGACAAACAGGTACTGATCATTCTTGAAGGTTCTGTGGCCTCAAGATCCGGAAGATTGGAGCATGCGGAACTGCTTTCACCGTGCTATTCTCTATTGCCAGCAAAGCCCTTCACCGTCTTTGCACTTCGCCTGAAATAACATCACGTACTGACACTGAAGACGGACCAGTTGGCTCCGCAATGCCCATGCTGAGTCTGGCTATTACAAGAGCCACTCAGATTACAGTTCCACTTCAAGGCTTCGATTACCAAAATATGAAAGATGGGCATTTTAAATGAAAGCTAAAGATAAAGGAGGTGCCTGTCTCCACAAGGCCCATCAGCAAAAAAATGCCAGCACATTTAAACTGAAGAGCTTTAGAGCTAGGCACAGGTTGCACTGGACTGAACCAGCGATATGAAGGGCAGGATTAGGGTGTGGGAGCAGAATCACACGTTTAGGGGGGTTGCATGGTAACTCGATGAATCTTAGGCTCTGTCTTGAGCTGCTAGGTGTGTTCGAGGCAGGAGGATTAGGGGTTCAAAACCACCCTGGGCAACATGAGACAAATGCAAAAATCAAGAGTTGACGTTGGAAATTGCTTTGGAGACTGTCCCAGAACTAGCTCTGTAGACCTGGATGGCTTGGAACTCACAGAGATCCTCCTGCCTCTGCCTCCTGAGCGCTGGGATTAAAGGCGTGCTCCACCAACGCCCGGGCTTCTATTCTTTCTTCTTCCTCTTCTTCCTTCAATTGCTTGGTATTTGAAAGAGAGTCTCACTAGGTAGACAAGGCTGGCCTCAAACAAGAGATCCACCTGCCTCTGCTTCCCAAGAGCTAGGATTAAAGGCGTGCACTATCATGCCTGCCCCTGCCTCATCACGCTTATTTACTAGCATGTGCCTTAACCTTTTGTAAAATCATGTGTATGCATATATGGGTATATACACATAAGTGTGGGTGACCTCAGGTCCCAGAGGCCCCTGAGCCCTCGAATCTGGAAGTTCAGGTGATTGTGAGCAGCCCCTCCATGGGTGCTGGGTCCCTCGCAAAGGCAGTACCACTCTCTTAATTAACCCTGAGCCACCTCTGGCAAGCCAGCACTTGCTATTTTTTCCACACGCTGGAGAGTCCAAACTGGATACGCAAACCTTCCTATCCGCCATCTTTAATCCTATGACTCACAGGGCCACAGAAGACAGGACTTACACTCAGCTCATGCCAGATGAGGTTCGGTGGTCTCCAGAGTTCAGGGAGGAAGGCAATAACTTTGTAATTCAAGGTTTCTAATCAAGAAAGGGAAATCTGTACCCCATTTTTCTCTCTGAAGCCTCCTTCCTCAGCTTTACCCACACATATTGGATTTAGTATTAGAGATAGATTTATTTCTTTGGAGACAAAAATTGGACTAGAAAGACACAGCCCTCACCCCATAAGCACGATGAGTACCAGAAACCCAATCTGCCCACGGGATTGTGCTTCAAAAGCAAAGACGCCTCCTCTGACCAAATCAAAACCCTAAGTGTTTTCAAGCTCATATCCTCTGGGGGGGTCAGCCAGAGTTTATTCCAGCAAACAACAGAGCAATACTGAAATAATCGAAACTCTCAAATGTTTCCAACGACAGCCTCGCCTTCCTCTAGGAACATCAGAGAACATCTAAGACAGTTTGTAAGATGTCTGAGAGTGAGAACCAGGCATCTCTCTCTCTCTCTCTCTCTCTCTCTCTCTCTCTCTCTCTCTCTCTCCTTCCTTCACCACAGAACTGTCTAGAGCTTGCCCGGAGCTCTCTGTGCAGTATCGAGCCCTTTGATGAATTGCTTAAATAATGAACAAAATCCAGGAGGTCCCGCCAGCTGTCAGGATAATTGGGGACAGAGACAAGATTGTTGAAGGGGCTGCAGGAGCCAGGGTTCTATCTCACATTCCCCCTGCATGGCCCACACAGGTGGGAAGGGCCCAGCATCTGTCACGTGTAGAGGAGGCAGCTCCAAGTCACCCCTCCTATGACGGCAGAAATCATGTGCACAAATGATCAAATTTAAAAAGGGGAGGGGGATCTTTGTGTGCATGGGGAGAAGCATTGGGCATAGTTTTTTTACTGAATGAAAAAAGAAAAAAAGAAAAAAAGGAGGACGCAACTGCTCCTAGGTGTCCTGAAGACATTTTATTGTAGATAAAAGGGAGAAGTATAGCCAGAGGCAGAGACATCTGGGAGAGGCCAGAGCAGACAAGACCCTGGGCCACGTGACGAGATGGAGGAGGGCAGGGAGAGGAGAGAGAGAGAGAGGAGAACCAGGTGCAGCAGCCAAGAGGGCAAAAGCTAAAAAACATCAACAATTACCAAAAAAAAAGTCGGGTGACCAAGTGGCTGGGCATCTAGGGAAAGGGCAGCCCCGGCCCGGGGCTGGAGAAGTTTAGGTAAGGCTGTATGCCAGCCAGAAGGACCCTGTAACTTGTAGGGGCTGAGGCATGCTGGGAGGACAGGCACCTCATCCCTTCCGGCTGAGTCCCAGCTTTTCTCAGGGTTCACAGCTGTGAAGAGTCTAAGTCATTATGGCTGAGTGAGAAGTTCTGCTAACCTTGTTGTCTGCCACTGTCATTAGCATATTAATGCCCTCTGTCATGCATGGAAATAGTAAAGAAGGCTGATTACATAGCACAGGACACTCCCTCCTATGTTTGAGCCCCCCCCACACACACACACACACACGCGCGCGCGCCCCTAGAATATCACTTGACATGTGTTAAGATCGTAAGGCAACTGTCAAATCTTTGCTATGTCATTTGTTCTCAACAATTGGGATCTTCTAGTGACTTGTCAAGTGCAAGCTCCTGTTCTTCTGAAGGAAGGGGACAGGGGAGATGGAGGAAGAGCATTGCCTAAAGTTTAAGTCCTGTTGTTTTTGTTGTTTGGGGTGGTATGTTAGTTGCTTTT